CATATTGTTCATTAGTCTATTTCTATAGCGTGGCCCATCAAAGGGTGCGACTTTTGTATCCCAAAGTTCACGTGGGTAGGACACTCGACAGTAGAGTTGGCCTGGAGTCGTTCCGCTCTACCTTGCAGTTCTTGTCAATGCGCGCACTTAAGAAGGAACGCGACCGGCATTGCAGCGTCAAATGCAACAGCGTGTGAAAGTTTAATCCTCGCGATCGATGATGTCCATACTTTACTCAACCGGATGTGCGCGTGAAGGAAATCAGACCGGCGCGGCCTCCACTACACTCTGTCTTCCCTCACTCATCTGAGCCCGGTATCTTGAAAAAGTCAGGAAGAGCAGAGGCTGTATGAGGTGCATCAGTTGACAGAAGTAAACAGACCGTTTCGAAGTCCGTCGCGGATTCTTCATCAGAGACTTGAGCAGAAAGCAATAGCAAAAACGGGAATTTGTAGTATTTATAGGACACAGTCATTACTGCACGCAATTAACGATATTTGCCCTCTTGTGCGTTGATGGCTTATTGATCGGTATGCTGGCCCTGTTTTGCAGAACTTTCATCACACGTGGTGGACGCGGGCGTGATGGATACTCGGCCATCTGGCCCTCCGGTGTTGGTGTAAGATGACGCGGTGACCTGTGCGTTCCCCAAGTGCCGACATGCGTTGGCTAAATTGCAGTTGTTTATGGATTGGGGGCCCGTGAACCATGACTAAAGTAATTATCGGCCCACAAGATTGTCACCTTTTACGCCAAAACCGGAGAGTCAGATGGCCGAGCAATCATCACACCCGAGTCCACCATTTATGATGAAAGTTCAGAAAGTCAGGATCAGCTTACTGGTCAACAAGCCATCAACGCGCAAGAGAGCAATTATCGTTAATTGCCACTAAACGTGTGCAGTGAAGACTGTGTCCTATAAATACTGCAAATTCCTGTGCATATGTTGCCTTTTTCTGCTCACGTACCTGATGAAGAATCCACAACAGATGTCGAAACGTCAGGCAAATAAAAATGTTGTCCCAGCGATCGAATCTTCGCAATTACTTCTCGGGGCTCCCATGTTCAGGCATTTACAGACATAAAAGCTCGCCTCCAATCCCATCTATATGGGGCTGCCATAAAGGACAAATTACAAAGTTGCCACTGCGGCCTGACTCTCCGTCCCCAGAGGGCCGATTTATCCCGTCAGTTGGCAGAGTTCTAAGCCATGGCGTTTAGTGTAGCATAACAATTTAACATCACGTCTGATTGCTTATAGCGAGGAAGTGCGCTCAATGCCATGGGGAAGGAAACCCCGAGTCAATCAAACTCTCTTTCGCTCTCTCTCTCTTTCATTTCGCATGCACTGGTTCGCTAGCGGAGCCGACCAGGTATCTAATGCAGGATGTGGTGTGAACCTGCACCTAGGCGTGCTACCTCACCCATCCCCATTCGTAGCATTTGTTTTGGATACAAGCCCCATATAGTGCGCATCGTGCCCTAATCTAATGCCCTATAGTTTGTTGTGGCCCGTCGTTAGACCAACGCCAGATACCGCCCTACGCTCAGTGGAAACGTATTCGGTGTGATTTTACATGTTTCCGTTAGCAGCAGCAAGGGTGTTTGATTGCATAAGCACTTGAACGGCGTTCAATAGTCCGACATTAACCACCCCGGAGGACATGGTTAACGGAGGATAGTAAAGGGTCATCCCATTCCCTCTCGTCCTGGTTCAGT